CCATTTTGGGTTGTTGTTAAGTGCCGTCGAGTTGGTTCCCCATTTTGGGTAGCTAATGTCTAAATTGCCCATCCCTGTTAATCCTGTGTACCGAGGGGATGGGAATGACCCTTGCTGTAAAGATTCATTCCCTCTTTTCAGCTATTATAAGTTGTTTATTGGTCCAGTGGCGAGGATTTTTGTTTTCTTGACATTGAGAAGCAATCCATACCAAAGGCTGTGATCTTTAATCTTCATCAATAAATGTTTCAAGTCCTCTTCACTTTCAGCAAGCAAGGTTATATCATCTGCATATCGTAGGTTGTTAATGAGTCTTCCTCCAATCCTGACGCCATGTTCTTCTTCATAGAACCCAGCTTCTCGTATTATTTGCTCAGCATACAGGTTGAATAAGTATGGTGAAAGAACACAACCTTGTTGCACACCTTTCCCAGTTTTAAAACATTCAGTGTTCTCATGTTCTGTTCGAACAACTGCTTCTTGGTCCAGGTACAGATTTCTCAGAAGTACAATTAAGTGTTCTGGAATACTCATACTTCTCAATGTTGTCCATAGCTTGTCATGATCCACACAATCGAAAGCCTTTGCGTAGTCAATAAAGCACAGGTAAACATCTTTCTGATAATTTCTGCTTTTAGCCAAGATCCATCGGACATCAACAATGATATCTCTCGTTCCATGGCCTCTTCTGAATCCAGCTTGAACCTCTGGAAGTTCTCTGTCAATGTATGATTATAGCCGTTTCTGTATTACCTTTAGCAAAACTTTACTCGCTTGAGATATCAAAGAGATTTTCCGATGATTTCCACGTTCTTTTGGGTCACCTCTCTTTGGAATGGGCACAAATATTGATCTCTTCCAATCAGTCGGCCAGATAGTTGTCTTCCAAATTTCTTGGCAGAGATGAGTGAGTTCCTCTTGTGCCGCCTCACTTTCTTGAAAGATTTCAATTTTTATTCCATCAATTCCTGGTGCCTTGTTCTTTGCCAATTTCTTCAATGCACTTTGGATTTCCTCCCTGAGTATCATTGGCTCTTGTTCATATGCTACCTCTTGAAATGGTTGAACATTAACCATTTCCTTTTGGTACAATGACTGTGTGTTTCTTCCATTCTTTCCATTCCAACAACATTCTTATCAACGGAGAAAAGATTGAAGTTGTCAAGGACTTCATTCTTCATGGATCAACTATCAACATCCGTGGAAGCAGCAGTCAAGAGATCAGACGACGTATTGCATTAGGCAAATCTGCTGCACAGGAACTTTTTAAAGTGTTGAAGAGCAAAGATGTAGGCTTGAGGACTAAGTTGCGCCTGACCGAAGCCATGATATTTTCAATAACCTCATATGGATGCGAAATCTGGACAGTGAATAAGGAAGATCGTAGAAGAATTGATGCCTTTGAATTGTGGTGTTGGAGGAGAATACTAAAAGTGCCATGGACTGCCAAAAGAACCAATAGATCTGTTTTGGAAGAAGTGCTGCCAGAGTGTTCCTTGGAGGCCAAGATGGCTAAACTTCGTGTCTCATACTTTGGACATATTGTCAGAAGGGAACAGTCACTGGAGAAGGATGTCATGCTGGGTAAGATGGAGGGTCAGAGAAAAAGAGGAAGACCCCCCCATCGAGATGGATCGGCCAGGTGGCATCATTGATGGACTCAAGTGTGGCAGCAGAGGTGAGGTTGGCCCAGGATCAGACATTGTTTCCTTCTGCTGTGCATGGGGTCGCTCTGAGTTGGTTCAGACTCAATGGCACCTGACGACGACAACAACAACATCCATAAGTATAGGTCAAGTTCATCATATTGTTATAGATTACTCTATTTTTCTCCTCTTTCTTCCTCTAGTTCAGTGCTGACTGTCCAGCCATTGAAGCCAGGTTAAGTAGGTACTATTTGCAAGTATGGGTGTTCTTGTGCATCTCCCCTCACTTATATCAGCTGGACACTTCACTCTCTGCTCTAGTCCTCTGTGGACATGTCCCTGACTCTGGGCCCAGAAGCCCCCAGGTCTTGCCATACTGGCCAAAACAAGTCTCAACCCAGGTTGTGACAGGAGTCTATTGAACGTGGTTGGACTTAGCTCACAACTTCATTGCTGTTTTCCCCACACTTCTTACTGGTTGACCAACGTGGTCACCAGCAAGACCACATGCCTGCTTGTGTATTCTCTTTGAGTCTCAGTCTCGGAATGGGGTTTGCCCTGAGGCAACCTGACCACTTGCCTTGATGGCTCCCTGGTGAACAACTTGCTTGTTCTTGTAGTAGTCAATCAGACCTTCATTGTTTTTGATTTTTCCTGCTGGTCTTTTTTTCAAGAAGTATCTTCTAACTAACTGCTCCAGGCTGGTCTGCTTGTCCTTTCAGTGGAAATGTCCCACCTCAGGAGAATCTGGATAGGAATCAGGATTGCATCTATGGTGTTATGGAAAGTAAAGGTGCTACAGGCAACCTCCTTCATTGTGCAAGTTCTAGCCCCATTTTAGGTATTCCAATCAGTTATAGGCTGAAGATGGACTTACAAGCTTTCTATGGTGATGTTTCTGGCTATTTCTTTCTCTTCCCCCTCAAGTGTCTGTTTTATAATTGTAGGAAAGGGAAACCAAGATTCAAAAGACAGTCAAGCATGTTAACATTATTTCCCTTTTTTACCCATTTAAACTATGCCTCAATTCCTTTATCTGAGATCTGTTGTTCCAAGGTTGAGCATACATCACTATTTATCTGTTCCACTTAGCCCATGCAAACCTGCCTAAATGTTCTCCCATCCACCTTGTTTTTCCATTCCACCCCCACCTTGTGTATTGCCCCACCCCAGCACCCAAACTATCCTGTCTATTCCCTATCCAGTGCTTCCCCTCCCTCCCCTTTGTCTACCCCCTACACCCCTGTGACTAACAAAGAATTTATCCCCTTTTTAGGGTGTATACTTTTTCTTAAGCTTTTACAATAGTGGTCCTATGCAGTATTTCTTTTTATGACTGACAAATTTCACTCAGCATAATATTCCATTGTGTGTTATGTACCAAAGTTTATCTATTCTTCCATTCATGGGCACTTAGGCTGTCTCCATCTTTTTGCTATTGTAAATAGTGCTGCTATGAACATTGGTGGGCAAACATCCACTCGTGTTATGGCTTGTATTTCTTGTGGATTAATACCAAGTAGAGGTTTTGCTGGATCATAAGCTCTGGTAGCATAGTGATTATGAATTGGGCTGCTGACCTCAAGGTCGGCAGTTTGAAACTACCAGCCATTCCATGTGAGAAAGATGAGGCTTTCTGCTTCCGTAAAGATTTACAGTCTCAGAAACCCTGTACAGGGTCACTATAAGTTGGAACCAACTCCACAATACTTAACAACAAACATTTGGTTGTGTATAATTCACAGGCAGATGACCTGACTTTGATCTCCATTTCTCTGCGAAGTTGAGCACCGCTCAAGGTTGTAATGACTAAATGAGAAAAGTCAGTCACAGCATGTAGCAGTTAGTATTTATTCTCAACTCCTCACCCTCCCTTTTGAGATGTGCGAAGAAAGTGTCAATTATATAAAGATTTGCAGGAATATTTAGTTCCTGGTCACTAGAAACTCTGTACATATAGCTGCAGTTTGCTACAATTGCTCTGTAGTCAGAGCAATTGCTTAATCCTATAACCCACTGAGAGGGGAGTGGCAGAAAAAAGTCAGGGGTTTCCAGTTTTTGCATATAACCCTGTGTTAACAACAGGATAAGTAGAAATCTGTTGCTAGTTGCCAGAGTGGGCTCTGTGACTCAAGGCCTTCTTCCAGATAAGGGAACAGAACATTGACTGACCCTGCACCATTCACAAGCACTGGTAGACTTGCAGACCTCTGAACATACTGCTTTTTGCTTAGAGACAGTGACATGCAGGGTTCCCAAGTGTGGGAGCCAGAAGCCAGTGAGACCTAACTGACTGGCCCAGGCCACCCCATGTTTCCTTCAAACAATCATTCTTAGACCAGTGGGGTTGGGCCTCACCTGCCCACACATGAAAAAGTCAATTATCTGCTCCCTCACGCTTTTTGGGGGGAAGAAAACTTTCAGCAAACAGAGAGAGTAGCAGATGTGTGACAAAGAAGCACACTGAAACTAGAAGAAATATATCTTGGCTCTAAACAAAGAATGCTCAAATAAAACTCTATCACTTGGTATGAAGCTCTGAGTAAGTTTCAAATTTCACAATTTACATTTTTATTAGTCACCAGTCTGCTAAATAAAAACAGTTAAGATATTTCACAAACTATCATACAATTTAATTTTATGAATTCAATTTCATTAAAAAAAGTTAAGTGCATATTCATACTAGCTATACTAAGAACACTGTGTAATCTATGGTCTAATACTAAAAATAATCAGTATATATATATATATTTACATGTTTTACATTGAAAAGGTTGTGCTCTTAGTCAAAATGATTTATAGACTAATTCAGCATGTAAAAAATTTTACAAAAATCCACGATAACACTTTCAAATCCACTTTTATTTCTTTTTTCCTCCTCACACACACAGCTTTAGGGGTCTCCACACACATTTATTGCAGCTGTACAGTCACTTAATGTTGGTCAGGTACCATTTATTCTTTTATCCCTAAAATTGTGTTGGCATCAAAATGACAGTTAACCAGTGTTAAATCCATAAAGTATTTACAGAGCACAGAGCACATTAAGCTTTAGACACTTGGCAATTAAACCACATAAAAATAGGATCAGACCCCCATTATACATGCTATCAGTCAGGTATTTACCAGTCCCTACTATGACATCTGTACACTGGATCAAAGGGCAGCAGAGGCAACAGGCAGTTACTTCGGAGGACAGGAACATTATGATCTGAAGCACACTATGATGTTACCCCAGTGTCACGTATCACCCACCTTTCTCCAAGGTGGTCTCATTCTAGAATGGCAGGTCCAGCTGATACAAAATGAAGACAGACAACACAACATTTACTCTGTACAGACATCCTACTTATACTATGCATTCACTGTGATTTTGAATGCAATTCGTCCCAAAAACTTGTCGCGGTCATCTTGGTTTTTTAGGTTGGGTGATCCATCAATCTTGCAGTCAAAGGTCGCTTCTTTCCGGGTACTGTTAAGAGGACTAAACGATACCTGGACAGCAACTATTGGCTGTCGATATCCCACCTGGCAAATAAAGGAAAACACTATTAAAATAGACTGTGACTGCATCTATAATTCTCTATATGAAAAAAAAAAAAAAAAAACATGACCCAAGAACTTAATTTATTAAGCAGACCTTTTCTATTCGTGTTTTTAAAAAAAGCTGAAAATTTAATTCATTTTATATTTCATTTGTATTGATAATCGTTCACCGCTCACCTGTCAGTTTGCCATATACTGTGGTGGTTTGCGTGTTGTTGTTGTTATGGAAGCTATACCACCAGTGTTTTAATTCCAGCAGGGTTACTCATGGTGGACAAGTTATATATAAACTTTCAGATTAAGACAAAGTAGGAAGGAGAGATGGACAACTTCCAAATACTTGAGTCACTAACAACTTTATGAAAGCAGTGGAACACTATCAGCACCAGAATACTGAATGAAACATGATGAAGAGCTCCAGAATTATTTTGAGATATAGTGTAGGAAGATGAGTCCTTCAGGTTGGAAGGCACTCAAAATGTGACTGGGGAAGAGCAGCCTCCTCAAAGTAGAGTTGACCGTGATGACACAAATAGATGAAAACTTTCAGGACCTTTATTTGCTGATGGGCACAATTCAAATTGAGAACATGGAAAATAAGAACATGGAATGTATGAAGTATGTATCTATAGGAAAATTGAAAGTTGTCAAAGATAATGGAAAGCATAAACATCAATATCCTAGAAATCAGTGATCTGAAATAGACAGGTATTGGTCATTTTGAATCTGAAGTCCACATAGTTTACTATGTGGGGAATAACAAATTGAAGAGGAATAGTGTCACATTTGTCATCAAAAAGAACATTTCAAGATATGTCTTGAAGTACAACGGTGTCTGATAGGTTAACATGCATACACCTATAAGGAAGATCAGTTAATAATAGTATTATTATTCACATTTATGCACCAACCACTAAAGCCACTGATGATGAAATTGAAGAATTCTACCAACTTTTTCAGTCTGAAATTGATCAAACATGCAATCAAGATGTATTACTGATTATTAGTGGTGACTGGAATGCAAAGGTTGGGAACAGAGAGGAAGGATCAGTAGTTGGAAAATTAGGCCTTGGTGATAGAAACGATGCTGGATGTCAGAAGAGACTCTGAAACTTGCTCTCCAGAGTAGAGAAGCTCAAGTAAATGGAATGAGGAGTCCAAAGAGCTGAATAGAAAATTTCAAAGGGCAGCTAGAAAAGACAAAGTGTTGTGAATCAGGCTGCTAACCTCAAGGTTGACAGTTTGAAACTACCAGCTGTTCCACGGTTGAAAGATGAAGATTTCTGCTCCTGTAAAGATTTGTAGCCTCAGAAACCCTGCACAGGATCACTATGAGTTGGAACCAGCTCCACGGTACTTAACAATAAATGGGCAAATTACTGAATAATGCAGAAAGCATCAAAAGAAGACGGAAGGAATACACAGAGTCACTGTAACACAAAGAAATGGTCACTCTTCAGCCATTTCAAGAGGTAGCATATGAGTAAGAGTCAGTGATCCTGAAGGAAGAAGACCAAAGTGTATTGAAGGCATTGGCAAAGAACAAGGCTCTGGGAATTGATGGAATACAAATTGAAATCTTACGACAAACTGATGTAGCACTGGAGGCACTCACTCATCTATGCAAGAAATTTGGAAGATAGTTACTTGTACAACACTGATTGGATTGGACAATATCATTAATACTGCAAGCATGTAAAATTTTGCTAATGATACTTAAAAATAGTTCTGAATAGTCAGAGCTTAATCTAATTTGCTTGCCTTTATTAAGTGACATTTCTCTTCTCCCTGGTAGCTTTTAGTATTCTTTCTGTCTTTGATTTTGGAGAGCTTGATTATTGTATGTCTTGGAGACTTTCTTTTGGCATCTATCCTTCCTGAGGTACGTTTGGCTTGAATGTTTATCTTATCTTTCAAGATGTTAGAGAAATTTTCTTTCAGAAGCTCTTCAGTTATCTTCTCTGATTCTTCTTGTTCCAGAATGCCAACAGTTCCGGAATACCTATAATTCTTACATTATTCCTCTTCATGTTATCCATCATGAATCTTAGACTCTCTTCAATTTGTTTTATCCTTTTTTATACTTGCTCTTGTATTTTAGTAGTATTGAGAGATTTGTCTTCCAGTTTGCTAGTTCTGGCTTTCATCTTTTCTAATTTGCTCCTTTCCCCTTTCAGTGTATTGTCCATTTCTGATATCTTATTATTAATCATCTGGACATCTTTTTGCAGGTTTTGAATTGTTTCCAATGATGTATCAGTATTATTTGACTGCTCTTGAAGTACTTTTCTTACTTCTTCCTTGTTTTCCTCCACCCCTTTTCAGAACATTTGAATTTGTTTCCATATCATTTTCCTAAATTCCCTCTCAAGGCATCTCCAGAACCGGATCTCTTCTGTTTTTGGATGTGTTTCAATAAGGTTTATTGCTTCTTATTCGTCATGATTATTATTTTTTTAAGTGAACGCTTGAACGTTAGTTGTTTGATTACTGGGTGTCTCCTGGTGAATATGATCAGGAGATAGGCTTCCCTTATTGCATGTAATGCTTAGCAGGCGCTGTTAGGTCTTGTCTCAGTGGTGGAATATTATGGGGTATGCTTATAGCTTGGCTATATAGCCACGACTGCTGCCTCTTCTTAGGTGACGTGGGGAGGAAAAGCTCCCACCTCCAGGAAAGATGTGTGATCAAAAGGACCAAAAGCAAAAGTAATATACATGCATAGACAAAAATCACCACTTTGGAGGAGAAATGAAGCAGTGTTCAACTGTCCCATGCTACACCGTCAGTGTTGTGTGCAATTAGAAGCCTCCAGCAGGGGGTGACCACTCAGGCCCCTCCTCTAGTCACTACCGTTGGGGTGTGCGAGTAGATATTGGGGAGTTAATGGGAGAAAGATTGTCCACTATTTTTGTTTCTGAAGGTCAGTTAGTTATCTGCGTGTGCTCAGTGCAAATCTCGGGATGGCTAAGTCCTATTATGCTGGGGTTTTACAGATTGGTTTGAATTGGTCCTGCACAGGGAGCTCGGGCAGCGCAGTGGTCATGGATTGCTAGGACAATAGCTGGAAATTCCAAGCTGCTACCTGGGAGAAAAGTGAGGTGCCCCGCTCCCACTCAGACCCACAGCTTCAGAACGCTGCATTAGGTCGCTTGCGGTTAGAGCCTATCCCAAGTGTCATTGGGTTCAGCTGGGGAGCTTTTGGGTCTGTAGGTCTGTGGGTGACATCGTAAGTCACCACCAAGCTCCCTCTTTCTGTTCAATGGGAAACTGTCCCGCCTGATGTCCAGGTTGAGAGAGGGAGAAATGTGTAGTTTCCCGCGTCTTTTTTTTTTGTGCTGAAAGTGCTGCTTTCTGAGCAGGGCTGGCTTTAGCCCTGCCCTCTAAACTCTGCTGGGGCGGGGTAGTCGCTGAGGAGTCCAGTCTCCAGATTCCTAAGTTGCCCGTATTTTCCTTAATATCGTGATTTTTTCACTTGCGAGTACGGGAAACTGACATCCTGGATCTTATGGTAGATCTGGAGCGCTGGAGTTGTTCTATGAGCACTTCCTTCGTGAGATCCCCCTCCATTCTCACTGGAGTGTACCCTACCTGGTTTTCCAAGGATGTACCCCCAACCGGAAGTCCAAGGTTGTATTATCTGCATGTTGCAGGTTGTTAATGTGTCTTCCTCCAGTCCTGATGCCACGTGGTTCTTCATATATAATCCAGCTTCTCGAATTATTTGCTCAGCATACAGACTGAATAAGTATGGTAAAAAACACACCCCTGTTGTACACCTTTCTTAATTTTAAACCAGCTTCTGTTTGAACAGCTGCTTTTTGGTCCACATACAGATTCCTCATGAGTACAATTAAGTGTTCTGGAATACTCATACTTCGCAATGTTGTCCATAGCTTGTCATGATCCACACAATCGAAGACCTTTGCGTAGTCAAGAAAGCACAGGTAAACATCTTCCTGATATTCTCTGCTTTCAGCCAAGATCCATCGGACATCAGCAATGGTATCCCTCTTTTCATTCCCCCATTTGAATCTAGCCTGAACCTCTGGCAGCTCCCTGTCAATGTGCTGTTGCAGCTATGTGTGAATTATCTTTAGCCAAACTTCACTTGCATGCGATGTTAATGATAATGCATGTGTACATTATCACAAAACAAACTTACATGTTAACTTTTCTACATTCTCTAAATATTCACACACTACTTTTATAATAGAAATGGCATTTTAAAACTAAAACCATAATTTATCTGTTTGGGTTTTGGGTTCTGATTGTAAGTGTAGAATTTCCATCTAACATCACCATTTGTTTTAAAAAACCAGGAGAGATGATGATCAAGTAACCCAGGACAGGTCAGACTAGTGGTGTTTTAATACACATGTGCTGATTTCCAAAAACAGTATCATTTAAGACACTAAATACTTACATGCAGTTTTTTCCCATAATATGGAAAATATTTCAAGTCAATAAATCCTTCGGAAGGGTAAGTCTCAACTGTCACTTCTTCATTCTAAAGTTGAAAACAAAAGAAAATATTTTTAGGCATATAAAAACAGAGCAAATTTAAGCAATATCAATTATTAACAGGATGAAGAAATTCAATGTAGCTACAACCATATCAACACAAGTTTTTTATTTTTTTTTAAACTATATTTTTGAGAGTGGACTTGCTCATCTTGACTGGAAATAACTACACAATTAAACCCTTGACCCTAACCAGCCCTGGTTCTTGTTATATTTCCCATCATACCCTGTGCCCTTATTTCTGAGAGTCCTTCTGACTCCTCTTCACTGCCAGGACAATTTATCTACTCCTACAAACTAACGCCAAGTGCCAGTTCTCTGGCCACTGAAAGCAGGCAAGTACCAGGGTCCGACACTGATGTTTCCCCAAAATGAATATAAAATACTGTGCTTCCACACTGGAAAGCCAACAGTTGCCACAAGCTGCAGTCTGGTAGAATACAGCACTAAGGCCTGGAAGTCAGCAGGTCCAATAATTCCATGTGATAAAGTAGCCACAGGGGAACATTTAGGGTAACCCAAGCAAAACATGGAGTCCTGGTGTGGCGCTGTGGGTTAATGCCAGACTGCAAAGTCGTTTGAACTGCAAGATTAGCAGTTCAAACTCACCAGCTGCTCCTAAGAAACCCTATATAGGGTTGCTTGGGTCGGAACCGACTTGACGGCACTTAACAACAAAGCAAAGCATGTAATAAATTTAAATACCACATACAACCCATGAACAACTCTATGAGCATGCATAAACCAACAAGCACTGTGTGTCCACTACATTATACGGCTGTTAAAAAATCAACACTATAAGCACACAAAGCTTAGAAGCGTTGATGGTCTAATTCACTTGGATTCTTGATACTGAGTAAGCTTTTTATGAAAATTCTCATGTTTAAATTAAACACATTCCGAGTAGCCCTAGGAATCCTGGCAAGGCACTGTAGGAAACACAAAGGACGCTGTCCAAAACCACCGGCCACTCCTCTGAAACCGGGTATGTTGTTTAGTACCGTGGAGTCGGTTCCGACTCATAGTGACCCTGCACAGGGTTTCCGAGGCTGTAAATCTTTACGGGAGCAGAAAGCCTCATGTTTCTCCCATGGAACAGCTGGTAGTTTCAAACTGCCGACCTTGAGAGGTTAGCAGCCTGATTCGTAACCATTATGCTACCAGAGCTCCTTGAAACCCTATATAGGAGTCACTATATAAATCAGGAGTTCTGGTGTGGCACTGTGGGCTAATGTGCTGGGCTACACAGTCATTTAAATCACATCTGATATGATGGCACTAACAACTTAAGTCAGAACCAACTCTCTGGCACTTAACAACAACAGTAGTCCTGTTTCTAGTAAACAGACCACAATAATCAAAGTAAGTGGCATATTTGTTGTTGCTCTAATAAAAATCAAACATTACTGAATCCTAGATCTGAATAAACTAATATCTATTTTTGAAAACATAGGAAAAAAAAGGAAGAAAAAAGAAAGTACATATAAAACAGCACAGTAAAACTAAAACGTAGAAGCCCTACTCCTGCCTATTGAATGTCAGGATCATGATACAGCACCCGTATGTGGGTGAGATTGAGAACACAGACAAGAGACACACACAGGACAGGGCAAAGTATAGAACAATGCTGTGAGATACTGAGTCAATTCCGACTCACGGCAACCCCATGTGTGCAGAACACAACTGCACCATAGGGCTTAGGGTCTTTAGGAAGCAGACAATCAGGTCTGAGGTGCCTCAGGGTGGGTTCTAAGTTGCCAGTCTTTCAAGTTACAAAAACCAGTCTTAACCATTTATACCACTAGCGGTTACCCCACAAGAATAACTTGTAAAGATCTGAATCAAGGATGCATGAAAAGAGGAGACTGGATGGACTAGTTACCTTTGTTCAAAGAAGGTTTCCTAAATATCTGAGGTTAATTCACAGAAAACCAATTTCGACTCATAGCAACCTATATATGTTTCCAAGACTGTAAATCTTCACAGGAGCAGACAGCCTTATCTTTCTCCACAGAGGGGGCTGATGGGTTTGAACAGCTAACCTCGAGGTTTCAAACAGCTCAATGCTTAACTCACAGTGTCATCACAGATCTTCAATTCATAGGAACACACAGAGATATTCCGTTAGTTTTCTTTTGATAATTGATCAATGTTTCTGTACTGCTTAAGTTAAAATAAGTCATTTATGTAACAATGAATTATTTTCAAATGGAAAACATTAATACATTATTTTTTCAACTAATAATGTGTGCTGCCAAGTCGGTTCTGGCTCAGTGACCCTAGATAGGGTTTCCTGAGAGTGGCTGGTGAATCTGAATGGCTCACCTTGTCACCAGACCAGCATTTATCCTGTATCACCAAGCCAGGGCTCAACCTAATAGTTGCTGTTAAGGGCTATTGAGTCAGTTCTGACTCACAGCAACCCTGTTGTGAGCGACAGGTGAGCTTGAACCACCTACCTTGTAGTTCAGTGCATTAACCTGCAGTGCCACATGGCAAAATTTATTGAGCACTTCTGTGTTTCTTACCTGATACCACACTTATACCTACACTTCATTTGGACTTTACAGCCTAGGTGTGCAGGATGGGTGACAGAGAAGGGAATGTAGGCTGAGTCCAGGTTACTCACTTAACATCATCCAGTGTGGTAGACATCATGGGTTAACTTGGTTTGTACCTAATCTTAGCAGGATTTTTCTTTAACTTGTATTTTATATACTTTGTGAAGTACTGAGATGTGTATTTCAGCGACAAGGATATAGTTTAGAGTGATGCATCCTTGACGTTCTTTTCTAAGAACCTGGATGACTTGTTTTATATGTATTTTTCCTAATTAAAAAAAGGATCATGATTAATTTTTGTGGTAAGAAAATAAATGATGGAAGACATATAAATAACAATTTACATCTTTTGCAGAATCATCCTTTTAAATTGATAGAAGTTTTAAAAAAACAACCTCTAAGATCATGTTATGGCAACAATGTCTCTGTTTTTTCAGGTCCTGGGGTGGTACTGTAGGGTAAGTACTGGACTACTAATCGAGAGGCTGGCAGTTCAAACCCACCAGCCACTCCTCAAACCCTATACAGGACAGGGTCATTATGAGTTGAAATTGACTCAACAGCACTTACCAAAAACAACTTAAATAAGGCGCCCTGGTGGTGCTGTAAGGATGGGCACTGGACCGCTAACCACATGGTTGGCTATTCAAGCCCACCAGCGACTCTGGGATAAAGATGAGGCTGCCTGCTCCTGTGAAAATTTAGTGTCCTGGAAACTCTACGTAGGGTCTCTATGATTCTGAATCAAGTCAATGGTAGGATTTTTTTTTTTCTTTTTTATAACTTGAATAAAAGCAGTTAGAGCAGATCAAACTGTTAAGAATGTAAGATGAAATAAAAGACATGCGCATTCTTAAAAATCAAGCAAACTAGGGATTATAAACTTAAACACCTGATGTAGATACTTCTAATGGAAAAAAGCAATTATAACTACAATCTTTCATCTGTTCTACAGGATGAATTCCACCTTTGTGTATAATCTAGGTGTAAAATGCAAAATCCACAACTAAATAAATGCACAAAACAAAAACACCACAATTTTCAAATATTCCACGTACTTAACACATATCTCTTTCAAAGCAAAATGGATATAGCAAACTGAAATACTAACCATTATAGCTTTAGTTTCTAACTGCTATGAAAGCAAAGCCTACATAACAGTTGGAAAAAAAACACATACAATATAAAGGGAAGGCTTTTACCCTTTGTAGGGACTTTGTATGATTTTCTCACAGATCCTTCATTGCAAGCTTATGTCTGTAGCCCACTCACAAGCAAAGTCAAAATATGCTACAGACAGGTAAAAGATTCTAAATTGGCTCTTCTGTCTGGCTGAAGTTTAGCATCTAAATCTTCAAGAACGCTAGTGAATAAATAAATCTTAAGAAATTACAAAAATATTCTAGAGCAGCAAAGTGTGTGCCCTTAACCAATAACATCAGTATCACCTGGAAACTTGTTAGAAATTAAAATTTTGCACTCCTGCCAATGATCTGTGGGTCAATAAGCTCTCCAAGTGATCCTGATAATCTGATCAAGTTTAAATATCATGAAAAAGAAAAAGCCCAAATGAGAAATCTATTTGTGGTTAAAAGCAATTACAACTGCTTTCAAAGTGAATTCAACATTTCAAGTAAAATATTGACACAATTTGAGTTGAAATGGTAATATTTAGCATAATGATAAAACTAAGCTAAGAACTCAACAGTTTCTCCTCAGAACTCTTACCCACCATTTACATATTTGTCTTAGTTGTATTTGCAGCATGGAGAGAAAACAAAACAAGTTATGAGATGAAAACTGCACAGAACTCTGGAAAAAACAGAGATAGTGGGAGAAACACAATGTCTCTCCACCTCAAGGAAAATGTACCATATATTTCATTAAATCTCACAGATCAGCATGCCAATTTTGGTGTGACGCTGTTCGATAAAGCAGTGGATGGCAAAGTTGGCAGTTCAGACTCACCAGCCACTGCTTGGAAACACTATACACGGCTGCTATGAGTTGGAACTAACTGGACAACACTTAACAAGAAGAAAGAAAAATAAAATCTTGTAGCATTAAGATACCATCACAATTTCTGAGATATCAGCTAGAAAAATAAATGTAATTCACAGAACTGGTGAAGAACGGCACCAGTACATATAGGGCAATGTATGTGAAGTCAGATAGACACAGAGAGCACTTTTTAAAAATTATCAGTAGCAAAGACAGAGGGATACCTACAAAAGTTTGCTATAATTTTGTATTTCTGAGCATGACATTAAAGACGACTTCAAAAATATGAGAAGGAAAAAAATGACAAAAGTCATTAAACTTCAAGAAAAAGTTTTAAGAAAGTTCAGTTATTTTTTGGATAATACTAACCTTTGAAGTACATAATATCCTCGGTTTTCCTTTAGGTTTTAATCCAATGATCTAAGATTTAAAAACATTGAGGCATTTAAGTATTGCATATATAGTAGAATCCCCCCGTTTGTTGCTGGGATCAGCAGTGGAGGGTTAAGATTAACAATAACTCTAGGTATTAACACGGCTTCATCATACCCCAGTCATTAGATGTCTGCTTACTGTTCTGAAGCGACTTAGAAAATAAAGCCACCACCAAAGAATTGACCTAACCATATCACTTTCTTCCCTCTTACAAGAACAAACAAAAACCCTTAAAATTTTATTTCTACAAACAAGTCATTTAATGTAAATATTCAGAGCTTCAGAGGCATAGCAGAAAAGTGAATTACTCCTGATGAAAATGGATTAATCAGGTCATAATCTTTAACATGCATTTTTCCATATTCCCAACAGAGCCTTATCATATTTACATCTATCTGTTCCACAAAATGCACACAACTGGGGAGAACGCCACCGTTGAGTTTTGTGAAGAAGAGGTCACTTTCATGTATACATCAAGAATGTAGTAACTGATATAACTAACTCTTGTGTGAATGGTGACGGGTTTTTATGCATCTATTTCAGGAAGGAGATTTTCTCGGATTCTGAATTTTACAGGCACTACATTTAATACCTGTAAATGTAAATAAATATTCCTTCCAAAAGACAAGTAATGATTCCAACCTATAATAACCTCAAAAACAGTAATTACCCTTGCATGTTAAACTCTACTGGCCATTTAGTCCCTTGCTTGTTTCATTACAGCTCACATGACCCGTGAGTTCTCATGCTGTCCTCCTATAAGACCTGAAGAGCCACTGTCATATCAGCAAGCCTCAGTTCAGATTCTCATCTTTTAGCAATGCCACGAAAAAGAAAAGAAGCTGAAGAAGGCTGGTCTTGAGAAAAGGAACTGGGACTTGCTCTTGCCTTTAGAAGAATAGATTTTACCAATCTAGGTGTTTGTGAGGATATGCCTAGACAATTGGGCTTTCCTGTAACAAATGAATAAACTGAATTCCTCATATAAACCAGATCACCTTATTTCACATTGTTGCTATTGGGTACTGTCCAGGCTGTAGAAACCCATGTGTTATGGAGAAGTGCCCCATACAATCTCTTGGGCTGTAATGTTTATGGGAACAAAGTGTCAGATCCTTCTCCTTCAGAGCTGCTGGCTGAGTTCAAACTGCTATCATTTCTGTTAAAAGAGCTTAACTATTGCACACTGAGGTTGTTGTTGTTAGGTGCCACTGATTCAGCTCCGACTCACAGCAACCCTGTAAAGGGTTCCCAAGGAATGGCTGGTGGATTGAACCGTCAACCTTGCGATCCAGTGCTTATCCTACAGTACACCACCCTGTTGTTGTTGTGAAGTGCTGTCGAGTCGGTTCCGACCCACAGTGACCCTGTATAGGGCTTCCAAGGAGCAGCTGGTGAGCTTGAACCACCGACCTTGCAGTTCAAACAACTTTGCAGTCTGATGCATTAGCCCACAGCACCACACCAGGACTCCACAATTTCTCCATTACAGATAGATCCTGACTTACGATGTATTTGAGTAATGACCATCACTATGTCTGAAAATGAAGAAATTGTTAATGTTGGAGTTACAAATTTGTATGTAATGTTTCCAACCCCCAAAGGCAAAAAAAAGCTATTGATTTACTGACAGAACCAACTTACAAAGGGAGATGTAGGAAAGGAACCCTGTCATAAGCCAGGGACTACCTGTACTTTTTATTATGTGTGGAAAGCAATAGCTTTTTAATTTGTTAGTGTCTATATACAGAGCTGGAGTCTTGGTGTGGTGCTGTGGGTCAATGTGCTGGACTGCAAAGTCAGTCTGAATGAACCCCAAGGTTGGTGGTTCAAGCTCACCAGCTGCTCCTTGGAAACCCTGTACAGGGTTGCTATGGGTCAGAACTGACTTGTCGGCACTTAACTTCAATAACAACATATAAAGAGCCCTGGTGGAGCAATTGTTATATGTTTGGCGCACCTCTCTACCGCAACAGTTATATAAGTCAGGTGCTCTTCTGTACAAGATAGCAAACTTCTGGTCTTTAGGTTATAACTACAATACATCACTAAGCTCATTAGACAATTTTATTTACATTTCTACATTTCAATTACATACACATATACTAAGTAAGAAACTATGTGCTGCTACTAAATAGCTCAGAAAGGTTAAGAAAGCCAAAACTTTATAGGTTCCACCTGGGATTCAAAGATGACCACTGAACCTAACCAAAGTCAGGCTTTGGTCATGGCAACCAGGAGGACACTGTCCCTTCAAGCATTACTCTAACCCGGAAACTCATGTAGCTAATTCCAAAAGGAAAGGCTTAAGTTACTCCATTCTCTAATTCATCACTAATTTATAAAACAACCTTTTTTGCCGTATTAGTCCTCCCACCAAAGATCAATAAATGTCACAGCTGGCGTGCCTTTGCAATCTAAAGACATTTGCCAGATTTCTATCAAAAGATATTAAATAAAAGCAGCAGCAGTAGTAAAATATATACGTACTCTGTTCATTTTCACAAGAATACAAGGGTTTCCTTCGGAATAGCCATAATCACGATCATTTATGCCACTGCATTTTCCCAGTAAATGAAGAGGAAACTGACATGCAGTATAAACAGGGCCCTTCTGTTCAAAAAGCACTCCATCAGCACAGGCCGTGAGATTCTTCTGTTCATCTAAGTGATATACTAAAAAGGAAACATTTGTGCACACACATCAACCAAATCAAAAGATTAAAAATAACTAAGAACATATCACCTTTGGAAAATGTTCTTCAAAGGCAAAACTGCAACCCTAATTATCAGTTAACTTGAGAGAAAGAATGTGACTCTTTTAACTTAATAATGTCCAGCACTCTAAAATACCTGGATCATAGAGCAATCTCTTTTGTTGCCCTGTGTTGGCTGTGGCCATGGCCACAGTTTCTAACTTCTGATGACCTTTTCTATATGCTAGGCCCAACACAGAAGATGGACATCATAAGGCATGGCCCCTGCCTCAGCACGGACTGCCAGGGCTCTGGCTAGTGCCTTAAGGTCTCTGTTAAGTTCCTTGACGTGTTACAGAGACCAAGACAGAGGTTCATGTTGTGATTTTAATTCTTAAAAGCTCGCAGAAGCTGTTTTGACAGTAGACTACTGGTGGTGGGGCTGGAGGCAGGGAATCCAGAAGAGTGGAGGTGGTGACTTGGTAAGGCCAGGAGCAATGGAGGTGGTAAGAAATAAGACAATTTACAGAAAATCAGAAATAAAAGAGAATGGCATTTTCTCATGAACTCTCTGAAGCCCCTTGATTGGTAGGAGGCTAAACAAAGAGACAGCAGCACGTTCAGTGGTTTCCAGGGGCTCGAGGATATGAAGAATAAATAGGTTCTTAACACACTGAAACAAGTCTGTATGAATCTATAATGGTACACGCTGTCTCACACAGAGAGTAAACTCTAATGTGATGCAAACTACGGGCTTCAGTTACAAATTGCTGTTGTGAGCTGCTGCTGAGTCGGCCCCCAACTCATGGCAAGCCCACCTACAACTAAAGGGGAGATGCTGCCTGGCCCTACACTACCCCCACAATAAGTGCTAATCAGATCCTTGTGATCCATAGGTTCCCTCAACGGGGATTTTCAGAAATCGATCGCCTAGTTTTTCTTCCTAGTCTGTCTTAATCTGGATACTCTAATGAAACCTGCTCAGTGTCAGAAAAACATGCAAGCCTCCACTGACAGGGCAGGTGGTATCTGCACATGAGGAATACTTGCTGAGCATAAAACCACATGCTGTTGTTGTTAAGTGCTGCTGAATTGGTTCTGACCCATAATAACCTGGTGAACTTGAACTGCTGACCTTATGGTTAGCAGTCCAATGTGTATCTCAGAAGGTGAAAATTCTACCATGGACCACCACTGTTCCCTTAGTTAATAAACACAGTGTATCAGTATTGCTTCATTAATTGTAACAGATGACCACAAGAATGCAAAATGTTAGTAACAGGAATAATCATTTGCAAAGGGGACTGGGGATACGTGGGAATTCTCTGTACTTTCTTGAACAATTCTTCATAAAATTGCTCTAAAAAGCAATTGTTAAAAAGTATCAGACATAGACATAGATATTTCACTTGTTCTCTGCTTATTTTAATAAAACAAAGACAAGCTGTCAGAGTGCTTTTAGCATCTGAAAGCAGAATTGAATGTAATTTCGTATCAATCCCCAGGTGTGTAAAACACAAAGGAATAAACAATTTTCTATGTTTTAAAATGCTGTATACTAGGAGTGGAAAGATGACAGAAACAGAAGGCACAGGGAGGAGTGCAAGAGTTAAAGTGAACAGAGGTTGAAGTGATGGTACACGGATGGGATTGTAATCGTTATATTGAAACGAAGTGTATGATTTGTTGAATGTGGTACTGATGATCTGCTCAGTAAACCTTCACTCAATTCACAAGGTTAAAAAAAAAAAAAATCTGCATTATAAAAAAAAAGCAACATAAATATATATATTTATGTTGTTGCCGGTTTCCCACACAAACAATACACTGGATCCAAAGCAATACTCAAGAGGCATGCTTTTATATAATATAAACCCAAACCCACAAATCCAAACCTGGTGGTGGTTGTGCGCCACTGAGTTGGTGGTTCTGACTCACAGTGACCCTGTAGAGGGTTTCTGAGGCTGTAAATCTTTATAGGCGCAGAAAGCCTCATCTTTCTCCTGTGGAACCGCTGGTAGTTACAAACTGCTGACCATGAGGACAGCAGCCCAACTTGTAAACCAAATCTACTGCTACCAAAGTCAAGTCCACACAATAAGAGTAGAACTGCCCCGTAAGATTTGCTCAACTATAATCTTTATAGAAGTGGATAGTCCTATTTCCCCATAATGGACTTTTGGATGGGTTTGAACAGCCAACTTTTTGATTAGTAGCCAATTGCAAATGGCTTGCACCACCCAGGGATCCCCCTCCAATAATAAGAGTTATTTTACTAATCATACATTTTTAAAACAAACTTGACTAAGCCCATTATAAACTCCTCTTTAGTTGTCTTATCCCGAACTCACTGCCACTGAGTTGGTTCTGACTCACGGTGACCCTGTAGGACAGAGAAGAACTGCTCCTTACAGTTATCAAGACATCGTAAACCTTCATGGGCGCAACAGCCTCATTGGTCTCCTGTGGGGAGGTTGGTGGGTTTGAACCGCCGACATTGTGGCGAGCAGTTCAAGACCTAACTCACAGTGTCACTGGGGCTCCTTTAGTTGTTTATGTTGTTGCTGTTAAGTGGCACAGCAACTGTACAAGGTTTCCTAAGAGCAGCTGGTGGGTTTGAACTGCGGACCATGCAGTTAGCAGTCCAGCCCTTATTATACAGTGCCACATCAGTACTCTATAGTTGTCTACAGTTTAACAGGAAACGAACGTAAAATAAACTCTATGAATGATATTTCTACAAGCAATCATAATGTAGTTGCCAGTTTCAGTAACTATGATCTTTTATCTTACTCCGGAAAACATACTTACATTTTAGAAAATGTTCAAGGTCTTTAATGTATTTTTCATAGGAACCTACATCAGACAAACTGAATGAATATTCCAACGCAGTCACTGGTTTTGGGAAAACTGTAAGTCCTATTAGAGAGATAAAAGAAAAGGGGGAAATGAAGTAGGCCACACTCCCTTCTCTCCTTATTCTTATCCCTAAGAGCAGGTCTCAAGAACCTGGTCATTAGCAATCAAGCGCTTACCTGTTGTGCCACCAAAGCCCCTTCATTATAAGGTATAGAGATATCTAAGTGAGAGAATGTCCAATTCTTCAAAATGATCTCAGAATCCGAATTACCAATTTGACTAAAATTAATTGTTGCTGTTAAGTGCCACTGAGTTGGCTCTGACCCGTAGCGAGTCTATATAGGGTTTCTGAGGAGCAGCTGGTGAGCTTGAACTGCTGACCTTACGGTTCAAAGTAACTTTGCATACCAGCACATTCACCCACAGTGCCACACCAGGACCCAAAAGTGATTATCTACAGTTAATTATAATCAATAGTTCACTACAAAAAAGGTTAAGTTTTATTCTTTATTTTCCACATTCATTTTCCTACCATATACATTATTTTTTTTTTTAAAGTTTTTCCAATTTGTCATTAATGTATGGGGACATTTTTCAGCAAATCAAAGTCTAAGGACTTTTGTTATCCAAATCACAACTATCTGGAAACATTCATAGGGACAAGTTTTTTTAAGCACTTGGCCATTAGCTGAGTTTGGCAGTTCAAACCTACTCAGCAGCTTTGTAGGAAAAAGCCCTGGTGATCTGTAATGCTCCTGTCAAGATGACAGCCTAGAAAATCCTAGTGGGCACCTCTACTGTGTCACCTGGGATTTGGGAGTTGAAAACTGACCTGATGGCACTAACAACAACGGTTACCTCTATGGTCAAACATTCTTTCGGCAATAACACGTATTGCTCTATATTTACAATAGTTTTCTACTAATGAAAAATACGTTCTGGTTGTTGAGATCTTTTCCCAGAGTCAATAAAGCCCTGAAATCAGATTTCTATCTTCCTAAACTATGAAAAGGAGTCCTGGTGTGGCATTGTAGATTAATGAACTGGACTGCAAAGTCTATTTGAACTGCAAGGTCAGCAGTTCAACCTCACCAGTCGCTTCTCAGAAACCTTATGCGGGGTTGCTATGGGTCAGAACCAACTCGAATGCATTTAACAACAAACTGTGAAAAAGTAAATTTCTGTTCTTTAAAATCACTTACTTATGGTATTTCTGTTATAGCAACACTAACAAAGACTAACAACTTTTAAGAAACCCAACATATATCATCCAGATTTTCAAAATAGAAAAAATTTAAAGAAGGTATCTATTTCTAAAAATGATTACACCTTTTTATATGATTCAAGTTCTAAGGTAATTAAAAAGTATTCAACCTAGAGAAAAAAACTGTGTTAACACCTGAATGCGTAAGCTGAATTTTTTTTTAATGTTTTATTGTGAATTATATGATAGTTTACATGGGAGAACATTAGTTTTACATTCATTCTATCGTATATCGTTTCATTGCCATGGTT